GATGTTCTCTTATTCCTTCTTTGGGGTCTTGGTTGAATCCCCCTTCTTTACCCTCTTTCAAGCAAGCCTTGGCCGGGAAACTTTCTTTGGTCAACAGCAACCATGAGTCAAATAGATGTATTCTGGGTAGAAGCACTGTAGGGCATTACATGATCCACCAGCTTCCCTGTAGCTGATTTGACAATCATGAAAACAAGTACCAGGATGCAGCTTCCAGCAGTCCAGGGAACTAAGATGTGGAAAATCCCCTGCTGCTATGGATTGGATGTCTGGATGCTTAGGTGCCCCCCATTCCACCCCCACCCACTAAATTCATCTGCTGAAACTTAATCCTCAATATGCTGGCCTTTAGCGGTGGGGCCTTTGGGAGGTGATTAGGTAGTAAGGCCGGAATCCACAGGAATAGGGTCTTCCCAGGTGGCCCTAATGGTAAAGAATCCACCTGCCAAAGCAGGAGAGGCGGGAGACATGGGTTTGATCCCCGGATTGGGAAGATTCCCCGGAAAAAGGAACTGGCAACCCACTCTAGTATTCTTCCCTGGAGAATATCCATGGACAGAGGAGCCTAGCAGGCTATAGTCCCTGGAGTCACAAAGAGTCGGATATCACCAAGCGACTGAGCATTCAGGCGTGCCACATGAACAGAATAGTCTTCAGACTCCTCGACCTCCACCACCATCTGAGGACTCAGCAGAAAGATGGCTATCTATGAACCAGAAAGCAGGCCTTACCAGACACCAAATATGCCTAAGCCTTGACCTTGGACTTCCCAGACTCCAGAGCTGTGAGAAATAAATGCTTAAAAGGCACCCAGTCTATAGTATTCTGTTATACCAGCCTGAAATAAGACCTGTGCGAACCTGCACAAGTGAGAAGTATAAGGAAAAAATTCTTCTGTAGTACTGAGCCCCTGCCGTAAGGGGACTGTACCTGTACAGACATGGTCTGTCTCCTTAAGTCATCTGGTAAACCTGTGACTCCTTACAGAGGACTATGAGTGTACATCCTGGTGATGGTGAGTCCTTTGCCCAGGACTATCTCACCCGGCCCTGCTCTTAACCACAGTCTGACAAAAGCTAAGTGAACAAGCAGGAGAGAAAATAAGACATCCCCATCTCCATAAACAGCATCAAGAAACCTCTACACGCACAAATGGTATAAAGCCAGGCAACTTAGCAGAGTAGCCTCTGCAACTCTCCCTGTTTGTGAAAAAAAAAACAACAAAAAAAGAAGTCAATCAAGGCATACATTAATACCACCAAAGGACACCAGCCTAACATAATACTGTGCTTTGAGATAGCCAGACTGTATTAAACGGTGACTCTCAAAGTGACCCAACCCCAGGGAGGCCTGCCAGAGCAGAGGGGTTAGAGTTGAAAAACCGGCCCCATACTTTCTCTTGTCTGCTAGATCATAACCTTCATTTGTACCTGTGTGTATGCTAAGTTGCTTCAGTTGTGTTTGATTCTGTGACCCCATGGACAGTAGCCAACCAGGCTCCTCTGTCCATGGGATTCTCCAGGCAAGAATACTAGAGTGGGTTGGCATGCCCTCCTCCAGGGGATCTTCCTGACCCAGGAGTCAAACCTGGGTCTTCTGCATTGCAGGCAAATTCTTTACCATCTGAGCCACCAGGGAACCTCCATTTGTACATTATACCTAAATTAAATACAGGATCCTACAGAGAGTAAGACTTCCATTGTCTCCCAAACCTAAAGCCTTTTAAAGCCATAGGCAGTAACAGGCACAACAGGAGGCGAAAGAGTCTAAGAACCAGGAGCATAGACAAGCCCCCAGGATGATAGCTTACTGTGAATGGCGTTGCATTCTTGATTCCCAAAGAAGATAATTTAGCTTCGGGACCTGGGACCAGGCTTGATCACTCAAGAGCTTTTGTGTAGCAGAGTTTTGTTAAAGTATGAAAAGGGGCACAGAAAGCTTCTGACATAGATATCAGAAGGGGGACGGGAAGCACTATTTGAAGCTAATAAGACAACACTCTACACATGGCCCAGAAATTTTACTTTTTCCTAAAATTTATAAGTAAAGTTCAAAATCTAGAATTCATGCTATAAACATAACTTCCTTGTAGCTTCTAATCAAGACTATGAACAGAAGAATTCCCTCACATAAATGGGTATTCATCTTAAGTATCAACCAACCAATAACAGGAATCCAATTTAAAGATGGGTAGAATGTATTCCAATTATTAATCATTTAATTCATATCACTTTTCTTTTGTCCAACCTGGGGATTAGTCCTGTAGCCTTTAAACTAGAAAAGGACAGATAAACCATTCTCATTTTTACCAAATTGAGTGGTAATATATTCTCTAGCTGTCACTTTACATCGTGTTATTGACTTTCAGATTAAGCAATGCCTCTGAAGTCTGGACAAAGTCCACACACTGACACATTTTATTTCGGGGAATTCCATTATTGAGATGACTGAACATATGATCATTTGAAGCCATAATTTATTTATGCCCTTAATACTAGACTTGCTTTTAAAGCATGAGCAAAGGAACAGTAGACTGTTTTCATGCATATGCTTGCCATTATAATCACTCATTTTTAACATAATAAAAATGGTGGTCATCCATTTGATTAGACAAATCAAAGAGCTCAAACTAGTGTACATCACCCTTGAATTTCACGATACACTTATCCTAATCTTTCCAACATCTAAATCTGAAGGTGTCACGTATGTTCAGAATGCTGTCTATTATAAAGTCAACATTACATTTTTATGTTTTGCATGGCAATAATATACTTGGATGTATTTGTTATAGGTTTTTAGATTTGTAATTGGAAATTAACATCAAACTACTTGAAACATCATACAGTATATAACATAAGATAGCTAAGCCTGAATGCAAATAAAATTATATTATTACACTAATTTACTTTTTCATAGCATTTTCATAAATATTATTTCATTAAAATGTTTGTAGATGTTTCAAAGGGGCAAGACAACATCACCAAAAATTTCACCAGAAGCAAAGCCCCATTCCTAACCTAAAGCATGTGTATATAGAACAAAACATCAGAACAGGATATGTTTCATGAAACATATTTGAGGAAGCAAACAAAAATGTGACTTTGATTTAAATAACAAATGAGGTAATTTTTCAAAAGCCAAATAAGAGGCTCTATTTTGAAGCATCTGAGTGAAGAAGAAAGCACAGATCCTTACCTGGAAACAACCAGATCTCACTTTCCTTGGTCTCTAATCCTCAGCAGGTGCTGAGCATTCTATACTCATCCATAAAGGGGAGGCTGCCACGGCCCACTCTGTATGACTTGATACTTTCAATGAAAATCTAAAAGTGAGAAACCATCTAAGTATAATATGTGCAATGTCTGCGATTCAAGAAGACAATAGTCATAGAAGGTGGCAGTATTGATTTTCAGTAAGAAAATAAAGGAACTACACCAGCTAAAAGGACAAGCTGCAAATGAACACACATTCAGAGTGAAACAAATGAAGATATACTCTATCAGCATCCTTAGGGTAGGCCATTCTCCCTAGTACTAAAATAATAAAACAACACCAGGAGTCAAGTTACAGGAAGGTGCTATTTGGCCCTTTTTGAACTAATAACCACTGGCTCCTTCGCTAATTCTGGAGCTTGCATTTTTAAGCAGACACTTTCAAACAACTTACATCCTAGCAATCTCCTTCAGTTACTTGCATGGTCTTAAGGATCTGAGACATCCATTCGATGTTAGGAAATTGTCTCTACACACAAGACGGCCTGCACCCCAAATCAAATCTTTAAACTTCTCTTTCAGGGACTGGATTAGGACCTCAGAGAAAAAGCAGACTTTCTTTTCAGATCAGGTAAGAGAAATACACTTTTGCCCACTTTCTCCTGGGATGCTAGTTGCTGCTGAAAAGCCAAGAGAAGCCAGCGCGCCGCGGGGGGGCGGTGGGGGGACTCGGGGGACGGGGCGCGGGGGGCTGGTCCTTGCGGCGGTAGATGTGTGAGTTCAGAAGTTCTTATTCTTATCTTTCTACCATAATTGGCGATGTGACCCAAATACAAGGAAACCTTCTCGTTCCATTAACAGACCCAATTTGGATTAAGCAGCTCCGCGGGAAGAAACGACATCCTCCCGGCGGTAGCTAGCTGTTCTGCACTCTTGAGATAATTCTCTTAGTTTCATGTTAACATTTGGTTAAGGAGATGCTGGTGGGTCAGATTTGACACTGTGAATCCACTAAACCGTTTTAGAAGGACTTTTTCTCTCCCGAATGGCTAGCCCTAGGAGCTCAGCCCCGGCGCCAACAACCTTTCCGGTGAAACACGCACTCTTGGCTTGTGGGCGGCGGGGAGGGGAGGGTCCCGCTCGCCGGCCCCCCACCCTGCAGCGGCGCGCCTGAGAGCTGGGCGACCTGCTCTTTCTTTCGCTGTTTCTCCTTGCAATGTGCAAATTCTTCCCTAGCTGGGCGCAGGTAGACAGGACAGCCACCTGCTCATCCCAGAGGATACGCTGCAGAAAACTCGAGTGGATCGTGTGCGGACGCAGGCTGGTCGCCAGCGGCGACAACTTTACAGATTTGTTCATGTTAGTTCTGGACCGGGTAAAATAGACCCCTAAAGACAGGAAGCAAACGCCCCTCTATAAAGCCCACTACCGTGTCACGCCGGCTCCCTGGAGCCACACTGGGTCAGTTCCCCGTCTTGCTCACCCCGCACAGGCACCCCAAGAACGCACTGCGAATGACGCCCGCCCCCCTCCCCGCAGTGGCTGCCCGGGGAGGTCGAGGTGTGCAGGGACCAGCGGTGCCGGAAGGGAACATCCCCGCCCCTCCCCTCCCCGCAACCCGGTCCTTCCCGGGGCAGGAAAGTGCTGGCGAGGCTCCGGGCCCGCGGAGGACTCGGACATCCCCAGCTCGGAGCGGGGCCGCCGGCGGGGTCCCCGCGCCCGGCTCCGGGGCTGGGGAGCGCGTGTGGCAGGTGCAGGGCCGCGGCCCGGGGAGCGAGCCGCGCTTACGTGCTCCAGCTTGTCTTTCCTCCGGAGCCAGACGCTGGCGCTGTAGTCCTGCTGCTTGACGCTGCTGTAGAAGTTCGCGCCCACTCGGGTCAGGCTCGGCGACGGCTCCTTGGGGCGGCTTTTCAGCCTCATCTGCTCGAAGCCCTCGTGGGGGGAGGCCGAGAGCCACTCATGCTGCCGGATCTCCATCCTGACATGACCAGACGGCTGCCGGCGCGCAGCGGGCTCGGGATGGGCGTGCGGGAGGCCGGCCGGGGCTGAGGGAGGAGCGAGCGAGCGCGGGCCGGGCGCGGGGAGCGCGGGGGAGCCGAGCGCGGGCAGGGCGGGGTGGAGCGGGCGGGGAGGGAGGGGGAGGAGAGGGAGACGAGGGGAGGAAGATGGGGCAGGAGGGACGCGGCGAGCTAGGCGGAGGCGCGGGGTGCGGGCGCCTGCGGTCCAGGGCTGGCGCTCAGAAAACCGGCCCCCGGCGGCACCGATTGGGCCGGGTCGGCCTCGGGCGGAGTGCGGCGGGAGGGGGCGGAGTGCGGCGGGAGGGGCCGCGCGCGCCTGCAGGTTGGCGCAGTGAGGAGGCCGAGGACTGCGAGTCCGGCCGCCGCCCCTCCCGCCGCGCCCAGGCGGGCGGCGGATCTCCCATCCTCACCCTTCCCTCAGCAGGGCTCCGTCTCTTCCCCTCGGATTTTTTACTCGAAAGCTAACCGCGCCTGGACAAGTCAGCACCATCTCCGCGCCCCCTCCCTCCTGGGAACCACCCTGCCCTTCCCCCCACTCCCCACCCCGACCTCTGCCTCCCCTCTTTCTCAAAGTTCAGTAACTTCCAGCCTCACGAGCCCATTTATCCCACCCCTGGGGACTCCCAACAGAAGGGGTCCAGTAACCCCAGAAAACGGCCCCAAGGACAAGTGTCTTCTTGAGTCTGATGCGCTTTCCTGGGAGGGTGTGTAGAGATGCGGACCCTCCGGGTGCGGTAGCCCGGCGGCGGAGCATGGCTCCCCACAGCCTCGCCCCTCGGATCCTGGGAGGGCGATTCCAGAGGACACTCTGCCTCCGCTTCGTTCTGGAGGCATTTGGAGTGCTGTGTGGTTCTCTTCTTGGTTCCCAAGCTCCCTGAACCAGGTTTGCATGCCCAAACCCTTTTACGAGTGCTTTCCCTCCCCGGCTCAGTCTTAAGATAGTGTGGCATGATTTTTTAGACAATTTTTTAGAAATAAGGTGGCATATTGATCATTAAATCTTAATAATCTCTTTATCCTTTTGCTATTTTTAAAATCAACATTTTCCAAAACATTCTTTGGTTTTTCCGAACAGCCGAATAACAACTAGTGTTAAGGATTTCTCAGGTCCATTTAAAAGCTTGTTAAGTGTTTGAAAGCTGAAGTGTAATGGAGAGTTTAAAGAGCCCCATAGGATAAACTGATCTCTCTGGCCCTTGGCAGAAGAGTTACCCAGAACTATTCACCTTGCTTGATAGTTTCAAAGAATAAAATTCTGGGTTGGAATTTGCTGAAGTTCTATGAAGGCAAGGATTGTGTATCATATCCTTTTAAAGTCTCCAAATGAAAAGATGATATTTTAATAGTAGTCATTGAAATAAAATCCAATGAGCAGTCAGTTTGAGGATGCAGCAACTACATATAAACAACACACAATTCTTGGTTATTCTAAATCGATTTTCTTAGGGGCTGAATTGCATTGTGTAATGTATATGCAGTCTATGGGTTATCTCTAAATCTCAACAGTTTGCAAAGACACAGGTTATTCATCCCATTTTCCTGGTGATGGAAAGAATTAAGACTCAAGCATGAATCACACTTCAAATCAAGGATTTGAACCACGTTTAAAAGACAGCTAATGCTATACATACCACTGGCTTGTCTCTCATATTTTGATATTACAATTTAACTTTCACTGATTTTGCTTTTATTTAAGTATGAACATACAAGTTAAATGATTACAAGTATGTGTGTGTGTGTGTATGCACTCACACACACAATTGTGTCAGACTCTGCTATCCTATGGACTGTAGCCCACCAGACTCCTCTGTCCGTGGGATTATATACCTGCAAGAAAACTGGAGTGGGTTGCCATTTCCTCCTCCAAGGGATCTTCCCAACCCAGGGATTGAACACCATCTCCTACATTGCAGGCAGATTCTTTACTGCTAAGCCACCGGGGAAGGCCACAGTTTGTGTGTATGTTTGTGTGTATCTTTTGTAATATTGGTGTTAGAAAAATCAGACTGCCCTTTTGTAAGGCTACCTCTGCTTCTCTGCTTTTTGTTCTAAATATTACACTGTAGATCATGTGATATAGCCAAACCTTGACAAGAGACAGATTTGCAATTCAGAGTAATAATGAAATGTTCCACTGTAGTTGAATTTAAACAAATGGTGTCCATATCAAGTCAGATTTTCATATTGAATAATTTTTTTTCTTTACCTTTTTAGAGGAAAACACTATAGATAATACCACCATTTTTAAAAAATAGGTATACTGGTAGCATACGTGTTACAGACAGACTACTAAATTGAACAGTAAATCACTTCATAGATAATGTTTTATGATAAAAAAAATCAAAGCATAAATTTGTACTGTTTCATATTTAATCTACTTAGTATACAGTGCCAGATATCAAAATGGATTCAACAAATTTAAATAAACCTGGGTTTAATCGTATTCACAATATTTTTTTCTCTCTTGAATCCTGTCCAGATTCATTGATTATGACATTAATGTGGAATTTTCTGGTTGACCTTCAAAAGAACATTGTATATGAAATGACTTAGTTCAAACTGTTGTGGAGAAGATAATATTTCTAAAGACAGCCAATGAGATTTTAGTATGAGAATCTCACACTAAAATATTTTTGAAATATGTAAATATTGTTGCTGCTGCTGCTGCTAAGTCGCTTCAGTTGTGTCTGACTCTGTGCGACCCCATAGACGGCAGCCCACCAGGCTCCGCCATCCCTGGGACTCTCCAGGCAAGAACACCGGAGTGGGTTGCCATTTCCTTCTCCAATGCATGAAAGTGGAAAGTGAAAGTGAAGTCACTTAGTCATGTCCGACTCTGCGACCCCATGGACTGTAGCCTACCAGGCTCCTCCATCCATGGGATTTTTCCAGGCAAGAGTACTGGAGTGAGTTGCCATTGCCTTCTCCGTAAATATTGTTGAATTTATATTAAGTAATTCGCACCCATAACACTTTTTCCTATACATTTTCATAGCTCTTATAAGTTCTTATTGCAGCATAGATGTTATAATTATCTATCCTATCAGTCCATTGGCTTTTTGGGGAACTGGGACCACACCTGATCCTTTACTGTGCTAAATGGTTTTCATATGATTTCAGTAGGCTTCAAGTTTATCTACTAAATGGAGATTAATCATTACTACCTCAAATAATTCCTACAGGGCTTAAATTATATAATACATAAGAAAACACTATGAACAATAGGCTGCTATATTGTTATCAGAGCATTCAGGCACAGGAAAGTACTTTATATAATGCCAATGATACTGTCATTTTCATTGGCAGTTATGTCAATTAATCTTGGTTGCTTATAATCAGTTATAGAAACTGCACTGATCACAAATTTGCATCTCATTAAAGTTTGTATTTATTCTATAAGCACTTTACCCAGTCTTGGTAAAGTCATTACTGGTATTTTACACAATACTTTCAAACTGTATAGCATTTTCAAGTAAAACATACGCGATCCATCAACATCTATTGATTTCAAACTTAAACTTAACAGATACCATTGGCCAGAAATTGTTAACATTGTCTGAGTTAAACATTTTGCATGGATGTAAAACCTAAGGCTAGAGCAGGCTGAAAGTATTAAGAGGTAACAGGGAGGAGTGTTTTATTAAGCCTTTCATAACAATAATGGTACCTTACATTTCTACAATATGTACATTTGTAGCATGTTTTCATACCCTTTATCACATTTTTACTTCATGGAAAAATTATCTGAAAGTTGTCTTGATCACAGAGTCTGGTCTACAAGCTATGTTCATTGACTCTAAATAAAGGATTTTTTCTCTAACCTAAAATCAAAATATCTCAAATGAATACTTCTTAATATACAGCATTTTACTTTTTAATGTGTTTACTTTTACTAAGTTATAACCAGGTTTTGTTAAAAGTTTATTAAAATATTTCAATAATTAGACCTGCCTTGGTAGCGTGCATTATGTCCTCCCTAATTACCTTTGCAGTATTAAAGATCATATTAAAACATTGACCCAAGAAATACTCTAGTCTTTGTTGTCAATAAGCTGATCCAGCTGCTTAAAATTACATTACTTGAAAAAAAAAAAAAAAGAGACTATTTTTTAGAACCCTTTAAGGTTCACAGCAAAGTTTAGGAGAAAATACAAAAATTTCCTATATCCACCTGCTCTATATATGGATAGCTTCCCTCATCAACATCACTCACCAGAATCGTACATGGGTTACAACTGATGAGCCTATACTGATAACATCATAATCACCCCAAGTCCATAGTTTACCTTGGAGTTTGCTCTTGATGTTGTAAGTTCTATGGGTTTTGGACAAATGTATAAAGACATTATCCATCCCTATAGTGTCACAGAATACTTTCAGGGCCCTAAAAATCCTCAGTGCTCCACCTGTTCTTCTCCCCTGCAACCCACGCCCATGTCTATAGCCATGTAGTTGTTACTGATTAGTTATAAAATGACAATGAGGATTTTTGAAATATTAAATTATTAACAAAGTGAATTTATCTGCATACAAACTTCTTTGGGGCTAGCAATTCTTTTTTCCAGTGCCTACTTTGCTGGTCACTGAATTGGTCCATCACCAAAGGTATTATACATTTGTTTCTCACAAAAACTATGCAAAGTAAACATAATCATTCCTGTGTTTCAGATGAGGAAACAAAGACTCAGAAAGATCAGCTTGCTCAAGAGACACAGCTAACAAAAGCCAATGCTATGGCTGAAACTCAAGAGTGGGTCAACTCTCAATACCGTTTTCACAGCACAAACCTGTCTGGTCTTGTGTGGGTCCCTGGAATCTCTGCTGGGTTAAGAGTGCCACAGTGAGCCAGAAAGAAGCTGCTAAGTAGTGGGAAAAGTTGATAAGCCCCCAGGATGAGACTCTAGTAGAATGAGTTTATACTGTTAGGTGCTCACATCTTACTCACACAATGATAACCAA